GCTGGTCTCCACTGGACTTGTTCCAGTTTATGGGACTTATATTGGATTCCCCAACTGAGGCCACAGTTCCAAGGTGCAGATTCCCAGGTGGACATTCTCCTCCCTGGATCTCCAAGGACACTGTCATCCAGCAGTTCCGGGTCATTGTGCCCCTTTCCCCACACAGAGCCATCCCCAGTGTCCTGTTTTTGGTGCAGCCACACAGGTGGCTGTCCCCTGGTTATAGGAAGGGTCATGGCCTTCAGCACTCAGCACATGACACTCCCTTCACTCTCTCTCCCCAGACTATGCCTTTGCATCCCCCAGCACCGGAATTGCACAGACCACCTTTGTGGGGATCATTATCTCCCGGGGATCAGCTGCCTCCATCTCCTTCATGTACTCCTACATCCTGCTTACCATGTGCCGCAACCTCATCACTGTCCTGCGGGAGACCTTCCTTAATCACTACATCCCCTTCGATGCCGCCGTTGACTTCCACCGCTGGATTGCCATGGCAGCCCTGATTTTCTCAGGTAGGTGAGCTGCTGGGGGATTGCCACCCACAATCAGAGGACCAGCCCGTCACACTATGGCAGGACCAGGCAGAAGCTTAAAGACCTTGCAGAGACATAGATGCCTTTACACTACAGAAGAGGAGGAATCTCCAGGACCCTGGGGACATCAGCAGAGTCTGATACATCTCCATCCACATCAAGTGATGCTTCTTTCTCTGTGTTTTTGTCTCTTACAGTGCTCCACACTGCAGGTCACATAGTGAACGTCTACATCTTCTCAGTCACACCTCTCAGTGTGCTCTCCTGCCTCTTCTCCAGTGTCTTTACAAATGATGGGTAGGTGGAATTTGAAGCAGAGTCCAGACAGGGTGTCCTAGGCATGGACAGAAATCAAAATGGAAACCATTAGTCCATTCTGGTCACTCCATGGTGCAATCTCTTGTCCTTCTCCAGGTCACAGCTCCCACAGAAGTATTACTGGTGGTTCTTCCAGACTGTTCCAGGTGAGAATACCTAGCAGACAGACCTGCACACCTGTGTCCAGGATGGGCAGCCCTCTGCCCAGTCCAGTTAGAGCCCCTATGGGGCTGCCCTGTTCTCCCCCAAGGGTCTCCTAGCTCTTCCTCTCACAGGCATGACAGGAGTGCTGCTTCTCGTGGTCCTTGCTGTGATGTATGTGTTTGCCACCCACCACTTCCGGCGCGTGAGCTTTCAGGGCTTTTGGATCACTCACCACCTCTACGTGCTGCTCTACGTCCTGGTAAAGGATTTGGGCTGGAGGGGAGAGATGGTGCTGATGCACTGCAAGCCTGTAGGTCAAGTCAGTGCAGCTGATGAGATGGAATAGCTTGAGGTAGTCCCAAAGGAGATGGTAGCCCCAGTCCTGGCTCCCCATTGCTGTTGAGCTGCCACCAAATCATCCCTGGGGTGATGACTCAGTTTGCTAAAGGGTTCTGCTCCCTGTCCAGGTCATCATCCATGGCAGCTATGCACTGATCCAGCAGCCCCGTTTCTACATCTACTTCATCATCCCAGCTCTCATCTACAGTGCAGACAAGCTGCTCAGCCTGAGCAGGAAGAAGGTGGAGATCAGTGTGGTGAAAGCTGAGCTCCTGCCCTCAGGTACAACATCCCTGGCCACACAGCACCAGCGCAGCCCAGGCTCCTCGCAAAAGCATCAGAGGCTGCAGCTATGCAGGAACATCAACTCCTCAACATCTCAAACTTAAGGGAGCCCCCTCCCCATCTTCCCACAGGTGTCACCCACCTACAGTTCCAGCGGCCACAGGACTTCGACTACAAGTCTGGGCAGTGGGTGCGCATCGCCTGCACGGCCCTGGGCACCACTGAGTACCACCCCTTCACACTGACCTCGGCTCCGCACGACGACACGCTGAGCCTGCACATCCGCGCCATTGGGCCCTGGACCACCCGTCTGCGGGAACTCTACTCTCCCAAGAACCTGGCCCTCCTCGGCACACTGCCCAAGGTGAGCCCTGCACAGGATGTCACCCATGGGGACATCTGAACCAAAGAGCATCTCAGCAATGGGTCGTGCCAAGCCTGAGCAGGCACAGGCTCCAGCCCTGAGGGCTTCCAAGACCTGGGCAAGCAGAGACTTCTGCTAACAGCTGACTCCCTTCTAGCTCTACCTGGATGGACCCTTCGGGGAAGGCCACCAGGAGTGGAACAAGTTTGAGGTGTCAGTGTTGGTGGGAGGAGGCATTGGGGTGACACCCTTTGCATCCATCCTCAGGGATCTGGTCTTCAAGTCATCCATAAACTCCAAGCTGATGTGTAAGAAGGTAAGAGTAACTGAAAAACAAACCCCCCTGAGAGGTTGGACTCAATGATCTCAGAGGTCTTTTCCAACCTAATTGATGCTGTGATTCTGAGATGCCTCCTGCTGCTGCTGGCCTCTTTGGGGATAAAATCCTCCATGGAGTCCCTGGACATTGATAAGTATGCTGGCCTCATTCTGGGCCTCATTCCAATGTGCCACAGATCTACTTCATCTGGGTGACACGCACGCAGCGGCAGTTTGAGTGGCTGACAGACATCATCCGGGAGGTGGAGGAGTCCGACAAGAACAGCTTAGTCTCTGTGCACATCTACATCACACAGCTGGCCGAGAAGTTCGACCTGCGCACCACCATGCTGGTGAGCCTGGATAGCCAACAGGGAGGAGGCCAGGCCATACTGTTCCATGCCAGGCTGTGCAGGGCCATGCTGCACGTGCTGAGCCATCTGACGTGCACCAATCTCTCTTTCAGTACATCTGTGAGCGGCACTTTCAGAAGGTGCTGAACAAGAGCCTGTTCACGGGGCTGCGCTCCATCACCCATTTTGGACGCCCTCCCTTCACACTGTTTTTCAACTCGCTGCAGGAGGTGCACCCTGAGGTCAGTGTCCAACTGGGGACAGGAGGAGGTGCACCCACTGGCCATTGTGGAGGACTGGTCCCAGCCTGTCACCAAGGCCCTGGAGACCTCAGTGGCATCTGCACCAAGAACAGAGTGGAAGGGGAATGAATCCTTTCCTGCTTTCCCTCTGGAGACAGGCTGAGCTGCAAGAGTCAGCAATGCCCCATACCCATGAAGCACCCCGTGCTACTGCAGGACCCCAGCTGCAAGCACTGACCAGAGGTGGGGGGCTCCCATCCTTCCTCCATGGCCCTGGCAGCTCCATGGGAATGTGACAACCTCCCCAAAAGCCTCTGGAGGCTGAGACAGACTGCTCAGCCAGCATCCGTGCCCAAAGCTGTCAGAGAGCAAGGGATCAAGAGGGGCTGGACTGTAGGGAGAACTGGTGCTGCAGTCTGACCCCTTTGACTCCCTCTTTCCCCAGGTGCAAAAGATCGGAGTCTTCAGCTGTGGCCCGCCTGGGATGACAAAGAGTGTGGAACAGGCTTGCCGGCAGATGAACAAGAAGGACCAGACTTACTTTGCACATCATTATGAGAATTTCTGACCCTATCCCACACTGTTCCACCCTCTGGCTGCAGCTGTATTTTTTCACCCCAGCACCTAGCAACAATACTTGAAGTGGCCATGGTCCTGGGCTCCCATTCACCACCCTCCCCAGATGAAAGCCATCCACAGATGAGAGCAGGGATACTGAGACCCACAGAGCAGAGACCAGTGTGCTAGTAAAGCCTTGCCATGCTATCACTGCCCTACATGGCCCCAGTGTGAGCCCCTGAGCCCAGGGCATCCTGCTATCATCCACACATCCCTGCAGCCCCATGCCCAGGGTCATGCTGGTGTGTCCCAATCCAGAAAACCCACTGAGTTAAACCCAGCTCTGCCACCTTAATCGCTCAAGACAGAGCTTGTACTCTGCTGGAGGACTCAGGCACTGTCTCTGACCAGCTTTGGGGAACAGCTTGGTGCCTGCACAACCTGAATTCACAGCACTTTGTTCCAAGACCGATGTGGTGAACAGATGAGGTGAGGAGCCAGCGAGCTCCCCGCTCTCCCTTTTCTTGAAACAGCATTCCTCATGTACTCTTCAGTGTCTGTTTGTTAACTCTCCAAGCCTTCCCTGGGTTTGCATAGGGCCTTAGTTATGTTTGAACTGGCTTCTTCCAGCTGTGTCATAGTCCTTTAATCAGGGATCAGTTGTGCTTGTCTAAGTAATGCTTGGCTTTGCATCACTGCTGCTTTGGCAGGCTGTGGTTGAGCTCAAATAAAGCTGATTGAAGTCTTAAAACACTTTCTTGCCTCCTGTAGTTGGGTCTTGAGCACCAGGAGACTTGTAATACTTGTGGCAGAGTGCTGGCCTTGCTCCTAGCACAGAACATTAACTCCAGCCCACTGGAAAATGGGTTAAGTTGCAGAGAATTTCCCCTGCACTGGCAACATACATGGAGTCAGGGGTGGGGGATTATAGGCACAACCCCACTGATTATATCCACCAGACCTACTGCCCCCAGCAATGCCCCCACTGTGTCAAAGCCCCCAGCAAGACCTGATGAGGGAGCAGATCAGCCAAGGACCCAACGAAGCTCAGCTGTGGGGATAACTCCAGCCCTCAGGATGCTAAACAGCCCCCTAAGACTACAGAGAGCAAGTTTCCATTTCCCAATAAGAACAATCTTGCAATGGGCACTGGTCTTCCAGCCATGCTAATGGAGATCCCCAAAGGACAGGAGTTGGGATGGCCTTTGAATCCCCAGCCATGCCAACAGGGTTCCTCCCAGCATGGGAATGTGCTGAGCATATATTTTGACCACTTATTCCAGCTATAGAAAGTTCCCCTGGGTTATGTCTCATCCCTGTAAAATTCAGCGTGGACTTGGGGCCTTCCATCTTTGCCAGGATTAACTTGGCCACATCTGGAAAAAACATGAGATTTCATTTCCAAGCAAAGGGTTGTTTGAGGTTTCACAGTCCTGCCAACACTGAGCTCAACCTGCACACTGGTGAGGTTTAGGTCTGCACAGTCCCCTGCAAACCCTTCCAACCCACCACCCCACACCTCAAAAGACGCATCTGGAAGGACTCAGGCAGCCAGAATTTATTGAGGAAAGTTCAGTACCAGCCCAAGGAAGGAGCTGATCTCTCAGTACTAAAATTAACACGACTGTAATCAAAGATTAGATTTTTTCTGCTTCATTAGTACCTTGTCTGTGGCTCACAAACTCAGCAGGAAGGCTTGATATTCCCAAATAATTACGATTTGTTCGCAGTGGTAAAACCTCTGAGTGATGCTATCCCCTCATGTCTCACCTGTTCTCCCCTCCATGTCAAAAGCAGCAGTGCCCCCCAACAGCCCTTTCATGGGAGGCACATAAATACAGGACCCCAGTTTCCCTGCCTGCAGTGGTCCCACAAGGAGCTGCTGGGGATGACACAGCAGACGTGGTCCCAGCTGGCCTCCAAGTGTCACAAAAACCCAGTTCTGAGCTTTGAGAAGAGCGTGGAGAGAATGACCTGAATGTGCCAGTGCTTCCCATGGAGTGGAGAGGGCCAGGCTTTGTTCCACAGGCTGTAGAGTCCCTGAGCACTCACAAGGGAAGGGGAGATATTCACATAGGGCTGTCTTGCATCCAGGGATTGCCATGCAGGAAATGCTGCAGCCAGGGCAGTGCGGGGCGGGAAGGGGGAGTGCCAGCACCTCCACCCTTGCTGTGCCACATGCCAGTGACACCCTCCCTGGCCAGGCTCTCCTGCACATGTGAACTGTGAAGAAGAGCCACCAATTCTGCAAACCATCATCTCGAATTCAGCATTTTGATTCAAACTATTGGCTGTCCATTTGTAGTTACTTGTTAATGATCTAATGGTGAATCCCAGTGCCATTCACCCTCATTACATGTGATTTTCTAGTTACAGATAGCAAGGATGAGGGCCAGGCACTAGGACAGCTCAGGGACTCTGATCAGTGGGGTCACACTTCAGCATGACTTTGACCCCTTCACCCCTCTTGGTGGTCTCAAAAGCCTCCAGAGCCTTCTCCAGGGGAAAACGGTGTGTAACCAAGGGCTTTACATTGATCCTCTTGGATGCGAGAAGAGCAATGGCCACAGGCCACCTGCAAGGGAAGCAGAGAGCAGGGGATGAGAGCAGCCACTAGTTTGGAGTCTAAGAAAAGAGCATGGAGCAGCCTGGATCATCACAGTTATTTCCTTAGCCCAGAGAAGTTTTGCCTGCAAAGAATCTTCTAGGGAGGGAAGTATCAAGTATCTGGTATGGGAGGGCCAACTGCTCTGGGCTGTTGAGCTCTGAGAAGACAGGCACTCTACATAGACAGTTGAGAGAGCAAGTGAAATCTCAGGAAACAAGTGAAAATCACAGGAAACTACTACTTTTGAAGCCCCAAATGAAAACTAAAACCGTCATGCTCCGCTCTCCTCTTGCCCGGTGTCTTGCCTGCACACTGACCATGGTGGAGTTCAAACTCATGGACTCAGTGCAGGGAGAAAAAAGGAAAAGCCTCAGTCAGCTCCCAGCCTCTTCTCTGGCACAGAGTCCCTCATATGGTTTGCATTGCCACTACATTTATAATCATAGAAACATTGAGATTGGAAAAGGCCTCCAAGATCATCAAGTTCAACCACGAATGGGCCAAATCAGAGCAATAGGGATACAAAGCGATGCAGCAGCTAATCTAGTTCCCAAACGGCCTACTTAATAACACTTCTCATTTTAAGAACGAGGGTGACAACATCCCATAAATCCTTCCTGAAGAGCTACAGATTAAGAAAAGATACTTTCTCCATTAGCAAGAAAGTACAGCTCTGACAAAATTTAACTCAGAGACACATCAGCCTCCCTTGCACAAGACTCACGTGTTGCAGTAGCGGAATATCCCACGGACATCCACTTCCCGCACAGCAGCATTCACGATGGGCACTGTCACCATCTCAGGCCCCAGCCCCACCAGAACCACAGTCCCACCAGAACGAGTGGCCTGGAGAGCAAACACACAAACAGGTTACATTTTGCAAGAGCTTGTGCAGGGTCTGTCAAAAATAAAGCCACCCTTTGTGGCTGCAATGGAACTGCCTGAGGCACAGCAGAGAAGCCAGAGAGAGACAGGATGCTGTCAGGAGTCTATAAGAGTGGAGCACATGGTAGTCAAAACTAAAAATGCAATCTTTTGAAAAGATGTGAAGGATTTTGGTAAGAATTCAAAATTCTTATTCTGAAAAATGGCTGGCATTTAGGACTATAGAAAGTACTTGGGGATTTCAGTGGGAGAGACTTAAAACTAAGATCCTGATGCTCTACTGGAATTTCTCTTTTTGCAGTTTGTCCCATTCCCCTCCTGTCCTTTCAGTATGTAACTCCACATTAACCTTCCCCCCATGCTCCTGATAGGATGTTCATGGTAGCAAAACATCCTTTTCTTATTTGCTTCTTTCATTGCTTCTGGAATTAATTTTCTTGATTATTCTTCTTATTTGGAGCTAACTTCAATGGAGAATGCTGTCCTACTTCCTGGGTTTGGGGATCTTACTGGAGTCTCCTTGGTAAGTGGTTAAGCACCCAAGCATCAAATCAAACTGTCAATTATCCCCATACTGATGTTAACACTTTAATTGTCTCTCTTTGTTTACAATCTAAGGAGCAGATTCTCTCCCCACACCAAGCCCACTTTAATTTAAGCACTGTGGGAGTGAAATAGCTCATTCACTGAACCATCCCAGAAAAAACAGACTAACACCATCACTGGTCTGCCTTTGTAACAAGTGGTACTCACATAAATTCCAGCCTGGATACAGGCTTGCACTCCTGTGCACTCCACGGTTATCTCAGGCATGCAGCCAAGCACACTTTCCACTTTGGAGGCCACCTCCTGCGGGGTCTCATTCTTCACCTGAATGGTGAAATCTGCCCCCATCTCCTTGGCTTTTTGCAGGCGAGAGGCAGATAAGTCTGTGGAAAGAAAATCAAATAAAGACCTGGAGCATTATGTGAAAGAGGAGGAAGAACCTGAACCTGGCATCTGCTCACTACATGCGTGCACAGGACAGTGCACAAACAGAAGTGGTGAGGATTCACTCCCTCTTGGCAAGCAGAGAATGATCATAAAATCCTGGAATAGTTTGGGTTGGAAGGGACTTCAAAGCACCAACCCACATGGAAGTTCTATTCCCTGGCGTGGGCAGGGACAACTTCCACTAGACCAGGGTGCTCCAAGCCTTGTCCAGCTTTGAACACTTCCAGGGATACAGTAGCCACAGCTGCTCTGGGCAATCTCTGTGAGGGCCTCATCAACCTCACAGGGAAGAATTTCCAATATCTCATTTAACCCTGTCCTCTGGCAGTGGGAAGATATTCCCCCTTGTTCTATCCTTCCAGGCCCTTCATCCAAGTTTCTCTTCATCTCTCTTGGAGCCCCTTTAGACACTGGAAGGGGCTCCAAGGTCTTCCTGGAGCCTTCTCTTCTACAGGCTGGACACCTCCAGCTCTCCCAGCCTGGCTCCAGAGCAGAGGAGCTCCAGCCCTCCCCTTCATTATCTTCATTCTCCTCCTTTGGACCTGTTCTAACAGAGCCACATCTTTCTTGTGCTGGGGGCTCCAGGTGATGAGGATGATGAAGGCCGAGCGATGAGGACAACTTAACGACAGAGGAGATGCCAAAGGCTCCCCAGCTGCAGAAAAGGGTGTGCTTCAAAGAGGCTGAAGCACAAACCCACAGATGAAACCCACACCATGCAGAGCAATGTCTGATTGAAGGAGCAGCCACCACCACTAGACTGGGGAAGTGTCTTCTAAGACCAACAGATTGTAGATGGCCCAGTTTCTCTTTGGTGCTGCCAGAACACTGAGAGTGCATCAAGAAAAAGCAGAAGCCCAAGTTTAACTCCAAAGGGCACTCACTGCAGGGACACCACAAGAAGGAACCAGATCAGGAACAGCTGTGGCCAAGCTATTGTGGTTATCCTGGTCGCTGTCCTGACACATCAGAGCAGAGAAATCTCAGTGCAGGCAAAGGCAAAATGCAGCAGGAGACCAGGGCAGACGGGGCACCTACTCCACCTACCTAAACCTGCCTCTGTAGCTGCTCTGCCCAGTCCCTCTGGCAATGAGTCTGATGAAGCAGCTTCACTAATTCCCACTGGATCTTCATCCTCTAGTGAGAATAGACTGTATGAAACCCCATTGCACACATTCATCAAGTTAACCTAGGGAATAGCCTACAGTGAGGCAAACCTCCACCACTCCTGTATTTTTCCTTCTTGGCTGTCCACATTATTTACTTCCACTCTAAAGGACACCTCTCAAAGAGCACAAGCCAGGGGCAAGGTTGCTTGACCCTGCTCCTTGACAACCCAGAAATCACCCAGCTGTGGACAGCACCAAGAAATCTTTCCAACAGGAGACAACAGGCTTGGAGGATCATTAATGTGGCCATTTCACTTCTAACAGTACACAATAAGAACAGACCATGAGCTCTCCAAGGGCTTTCTCAAGGAACCCTCAGCACATGCCTTCAGATGAGCAAACTGCAGAATGCATTCATTGTAAACACTCAGTGTGTCTGCACTGTCACAGACCTGTCCTGCTCTTTACCCTCCTTGTAGCAGCTCTGAAGGATGCTGAGCATCTCTCAGACAGCTTTTGTCACAGATGATTGAGCAGGCAAGCCCATGAAGAAAAAAGGGAGTGGATCTGGTAATAAGGTGGACCTGAGACACTCCATTAACACGGAGCAACAAAGTTGGTGATGATAAACATCTCTGAGGGCATGGCTGTACTCCTGTACTCTGTTCTGAGGGATCTTGACAGGGCTGCAAGTATCGCCTGAAGAGCCATGGGGGATTTGTACCACAGACCAAGCTGTCCTCCTGGGGCATCCCACATCCCCTGAAAGAAATCCACCTATTCCTCTCCAGGTACCACTGGTAACCAGGTCACCTCCGGAGATGAGGACGTGTACAGATGAGGAGAAGAGTGGGATTTCCCAGGAAAGGATCACCTCTTTTCCCTCCACTAAAGCAGTGGCCTACAGGGGTCTGCATGCTGGCTGGAAAAGATGCACTGGAAAAGATGTAACAGACAAGATTTCCTAAACCCAAAATTGAGGGGTGGTCTCCACCCAGAAGTCCTAGGCTTGAAGAGTCAGGAAACTATGCCTGTGCTAAGGGCACACACAGCAAAGAGGAGAACATTCCTCTCACCAGAGCAGAGTCTTCAGAGAAGTCAGAGATGGGGTGGGGTGAAAATATCAAGGGAAAGAGGAAGAGGATAAGACCAGTTCTCTGACTCAGCCACAGTCCTGGGAGCGAGTCAGGACAGAGGCTCTACCCTGCCCATCCCACAGCAAAAATGATGGCACTTACTGGCAGGGCAGGGGATGGACAATCCCCCACGGGCAGCTGGAAGGCTCGGGATGCCAAGTGTGGGTACACCTACCAAGCTGAGCACCCAGGAGAGCTGTGGAGGGCATTTCAAGAAGGGGTAACAAAGGGTAATAAATGCAGACAAAAGAAGAAAAGCCAAGGCTGAAAAGAAAGGGAAGCATAGCCCTGGAAGCCCCAACATGGGCTTGCTCCTGTGGCTGCAGGAGTCACGTGTGTCCCTCCCAAGCTCTTAGCATTGGCCATGTGTGGGGCCATGCTGAGAGACCTCCCATGCACCAATTACATGGCCAGGGGCCTTTTGAGGCACCTCAAGTGCTATGAAACACTTTTGCCCAGCATGCTTGGTATCTCCCAAATCTCGGTGTAAGGAAAGGATTCTGCAGGGGTTCAACAGTCCTCTCAAGTAATGACTAAATTTCCTGTGAAGTTTGGTCTCACAATAGCAGCTCACAGCAGACACAGCTGGATTCTACCATTTTTTAAATCTGCTGAGTCACCAATGTATTTTAAATTATAGATATATATTTAAATTATTATATATGTATAATATATAAATATATAAAATATTATAGACATTCTATTCTATATTTTACTTATTTACATATTTTATATATTTCATACTTTCTCTCTGGTAGAAATAATCCACAGGCAGTGCCCTAGAGTAAAAAGGCAGCCAGTGCATTTCAAAGGGCCACAAAAACACTCTCAGGAAGCAAAAAATCCCACATCTTCCCTGTAGTTGGCCTCTGGTTTGCTGACCTGCTCAGGAAGGAAGCCCTGGGTCTAAGCAGCACATGGAATGCAGCAGCAACACTGTCAGCCCTGGTCAGGGCTGCAATAACATCTCAGTACACCTGAGTCACCAGGAAGCACTTAGTGAAGCAGACAGACCTGTAGGTCACTGGATCGTTCAGAGCTCCAGGCACTTGTGAGTCTTGGGAAGGATCAAGTCCTTCGGACTTCAAACTCACACAGTTCTTGGGAAACTGGTCAATTAAACAATTAATGGCTTGCCTCTAGTCAGAAATTTGTTTTCACTTCCCAGCCCCTGGAGCTTATTAAAATTTTGATTGCTTCCAATGAAATTATCAAATTACACTTAAGTTACTCATGATGGTTTATGAGCCAACTTAACAGGCAAATAAATAGTGTATTATTCTCAGGTTTTCTGTGTTGATCTATTTTTCTCAAAGGAGCTGAGCTCTGTACAGTTACTCACCTCCCCTGACCTTGAATTCCAGGGTTTCTGGAGGCATCAATACCCAGAACTTCAGATTCAGATAGAACAAGGAGAATAATTTCCCTCAAGTAGGAATTATTAAGTGCACCTTCAGTGACAGACAGTGCAATGCAAGACAGCCCAAGATGAACACCTAAACTGCCCCTTCACTTACTGGGGAGGAAGGCTGATCTTTTGCATGTATCTAAGGAGAAAAGCAGCTTTTAAGAGCAACAGCAAGGCAGAAGGACAGGAGAAGGTCGCCCATAAATATCAATCACACCCAATCAGGAGTGGAGTGGAGAAAGACACAGACCCTTTGGTAGAGTAGATGAGGACCCATGAAACAAATTGGTCTTCTCACCCAACTGGCATCCATTAAATATATCAAACACTCCAGATGAGCCAAAGACAGAAGCTGTAGGAGCTGAGTTCTCACAAAAAAAGCTTTTCTAAATATTTCTATACCTGTGAGAAGCTTGTCAAAACAAACACAAACTTTTAAAGCCATAAGTGCTGCACAGACAAAGTTTGTCACAGACACATGATAAGAACACAGGACAATGAATTCAAATAATCTGGTAGCAAAGTACTAAAGAGCCTCTGTGGACAGACAGACGCCTTACAGATGTTGGCTCCTAAAGCCAAAACAAAAAGCAGTTCCTTGAGACAGGCAGCAAAATCTCCAGCAGTAGCAAGCCAAACCAAACCCATTCCTCAGCTCATGTCACACGCAAATATTTGATTTGGGACAGAACCTTCATGGGTGTCTTTGAGCACCTCAGCCAAACCCCTGTGACCTGAAAGAGACATCCATGAGTCAGAATCAGCACCTAGGCTAGCACATGAAGATATGAAAGGGTAATTCCATGTATCCAAGCTTGCTGATCCTACCAACCAAGCACCAGGAACCTCCTGTAACATGTGACAGCCAGCTCAGCTGGCCCAAGGTCCCCATCAGCAGCAGCTCCTGGTACTAGGAATACATACCCAGGCTGGAGCAGGAATGAGGGGCAGACTGAGCCAGCTGCTTCAGCCCCACCAACCCCCACTCACCAAGCCTTCCCCACCCAGGGAATGGGCCACCCCCAGCCCCTGCACCAGTCCAGCACCACCTGGGCACAAGGCTCCTTGTGTGTGATTCAGGAGGCAGAGCTGTTTTTCCTGCTACAGCAAACATCATCCTCAAATGACAACACTTCACAAAATCTGAGGTGTGGACCAATCATATTCATCAAGAACACACACCTGCAGGGTGAGGCCAGAACAGCTAAAAATGCCCTGGACTTGACAGCAAAAGGATTAAGGGAGGAGAAGGCAATAACAAGCCTTTTGTTTTGACCTGTGCTACTGAAGGATGTTTCAGTGAAGGCAAGAGGGTGGGACCTGAATTTTATCTCTTGACCCAAAAATGGAAACACAGTAATGGAAAGGTCAAAATTACACCTGGCTCAAAGTATGGGAGGTGACTAACAGCCTTCTGAAAGGTCCAGATCCTTTAGGGCTTTGACATAAAAACTGCAGCAATCTGTGCTCAATGTCCAGTGGGACCTCTAACTGCTCCTGCTGGCCATCATCACTCAGAAAGATTGAAGAGTAATAGTGGGAGCTGGAAACACCATTTCCAGACCCTGTTCAATTTCCCCACGTGGAAATTTCAACCAGAAAACATCCTGAGGTTATTCCAGCTCTTTATCCTTCTGAGCAAGATACAGAGAGAGAGGGCCTGAACCTTAAGAAGAGCTAGGAGGAGCTGGGCTTGGTTAGCATGGCAAAAAAAGGGGGGGATGGAATGGCTGTCTCAACAACCTGAAAGGCAGCTGCAAAGGTGATGAAGACTCATTTCAATTCTTGCATCAAGGGGAAATCTCTGTGAGTGACAGTTTGTGAGTGGACCCTAGAAAAAGCTTCATCATTAAGAGATGCAAAACTGGAGAAAGTATCTAGAAAAACGGGATCTCCTTCCTCAGAGGTTTCCCTGACAGAAGTGGACGAAGACATTCCTGCAAGCAGCAGCTCATTGTCCAGGATACAGTTATGCAATGAATACCCATTTCTGAAATGCAGAGACCCCAAAAAGGCCATTTCAGTCACTGTGGATAACCAGTGAAAAATGAAACCCCCAGCAGGAGCAGACAGAAGGGCAGAGAAAGACAAGCGGAGAAGTACAGTGTGGCTGCACACAGAAAACAGTGTGCAAACACTGTCTGGGCCATCATCCAACACTATCAGAGACAAAAATAATCTGCCAAGATTAAACCTCCCTGAAAGGTGGTCAGGTACTGGAACAGGCTGCCCAGGGAAGTGCCTGGAACTGTTCAAAAAACATGTGGATGAGGCATTTATGGACAGGGTTGAGCTTGGCAGTGCTGGGTTTATGGTGGGACTCGATGATCTAAGTGCTTTTTTCCAACCTTAATGATTTTGTGATTCTATATAGTGGGAAACAGGCACACTCTGAAAGGATTAAAAGGACTTACCTGTAACTACCACGGCTGCTGCACCCATCATCTTAGCAACAATCACATTAACAAGGCCGATTGGTCCTGGGTACAAAGGGGAGAAAGAGAACATGTACCACTGCCAGGCAGCATCAGCCCCACCTCTGAACATGCCCAGAGTTTAGTGTGTTCTTGGCCAAAGGAGGCTTTGGCAGCCCCAAGGTCCCCCTCATCATGCCTGTGACTCTGCCATGACCCACCCTTACAGCAGAGAGCAGAAGAGCCTGAGCCTGCCCACCCCTCCCAGAAGGCAGGGAACCCAAGGATTGACTGTGACCACTGTACCAGAGCCAGATACGAAGACTTTGCTTCCCAGAGTGACTCCCGCTCTTTTGCAGGCATGGATTCCCACTGAGAGGGGCTCGATAAGGGCTCCTTCCTCAAAGGTGACATTATCTGGAAGCCTGCAAGAAGGAACAGCTACCAATGTAGTTTATGAGGGTGAAGACCAAACAGGGGTGTAAAACACAGTGGGACCGGTGTGTGTGTAAAACACACTGCCACCTGTGGTCAGAGAAATATGCTGGAATATGCTTCAAGAGGTTCCATTGCTTCTTTCCCTCCTCTGAAGCAGCATCAAATGCACCTGAACCATTTATCAGTGAGGTTTGCCCAAGCACCACACCCAGGGACCCACAGACTTCCCCACATCAACCCTCCAGTACTTGGTGAATCAGCAAGGACTCCTTTGCCACTAATTCCTTTTGGAATAAAGCCCCCCGGCTGCATATGTACCACCCTGAAGCTGTCCTGTGGCTCATCCAACAGTGAGCTCCCTCACCCCTCAGCAGAGTTGAATCAGCTTCTAGAAAACATCCTGCTGCCAATGGTGATGCCACCAGGAAAGACATCCAGATCCAGGTCTCCCTGTAACAGCTAGGAGGATCACCTTCCCTGATGCACCAAATGTTTTAACAAGTAGACTGGTCCCAGCATGCACCCCCCCAGCAGTCAGGGACAATGTGTGCAGTGGGTATCAAACACCTTTTGGACAAAAACAGCCTTGTAATGCAGCCAAACATAAGTGATGGAAAAAAAGCAGAGGAAGTTAAACCCTTCTGAACTTCTGAAAGAAATAAATGTCAGCCCCACAACACTGCCCACCAGCAAGCCACCGGTGTGGGTTCTCACACAGCTCAGGGAGTTGTGCCTGCTAGGTGGGGTCTCTGTGACAGCACTGGGAAGCTCGAGGTCAGATCTCAGCCAGGCCAATGCAAAGCCAAAGAAATGGAAATAATGGCTGCAGGAAGACACTGTAAGATATCTGCATATCCCTTATTTCGAAGAGGATTTAAAGGTCTGACTCCAAGAGTTCCATTGTCACAAAGTTTGGCATCACGTTTGCTACTTTCTGGGTTTGGGCACTGCCCAGTCTACGGGGAGGGCAGCTTCACAGCATGATCCCACCTCCATCAAGTTACTCAGAGCACCCAACACAGAATCTGTCCACCAGCAGGACACACGGTAACTGCCCAAATGTGCGAAAGCTCACTGAGCTCAGCCATCATCTCTTCTTAGGAAATTTGTGCTGGCAAAGTGACCGCATGCCAGAGAATCTGCTCTACATGAGCCAGTCACAGCACTGCTGATCTGAAACTGGGAGCACCAGGTCCAGGCTTTGCATCCCAAAGAAAAAAAAAATTAAAATAAATCAAATAGCCAAAGTAATATTTGCTCAAATTGGAGAAAAAAGCAAAAGCCTGGAAGAAGCCAGCTACAAACTGACCACTTCCTCTCAAGCAAAGACTTGTGTTGTTGTCAGAAAATGTTTTTTTGATACACAGGAAATCTATGACAGTGGGTCTGGACAGTGAGATGCTAATCCCATCCAGACCAGCACCTCATCCTGACGGCAGCTGCTTGGTATCTGTTTTGAAAGCTTCCTGCCTCAGGACTCTCAGGAGAAGAGCAGTCAAGTGCCTCCTTCTGACTGACACAACCCTGAATCCTTTCTGTGCAGACACCAGAGATGAATCCCAAGGACGTTCCTGCTCATGGAAGTACCAACCCCATACACACTGAAAAATAACAAGCTCCACAGGTAGAGCAGCCTCAGGGGGACACTACTTGGGCTATTTTTAGCTCCTGGTTAAAGGCACTTAAGTGGTTATAACATCATACAAGTTTTTTCAGGTCTTTGGAGTATTTGAGGCCCTGGTACAGGCTGCTCAGAGAAGTTGTGGCTGCCCCATCTCTGGAAGTGTTCAAGGTCAGGCTGAATGGGGCTTGGAGTAACTTGCATTAGGGGAAGGTGTCCCTGCCCATGGTAGGGGGTGGAAGAGTTTTAAGGTCCCTTCCAAACCAAACCGTTTTGGGATTCTATGATTTGCCAGAGCGTTTAAGCACAGATTTGCTTCTAAGTAAATATGCCAGTGCTGCCACAATTAATAACATATTCAAGTTTGCTGAACTGGACATAAAAACAGATATGTTGTAATGCTGGTAGCTTAGTGGAGGCACTCAGAGACACATGAAAAAAACAGCTCAGCAGGGCCACTGCTTTCTGTTCCTACTGTGCTCAAAGTGGGATGACTTCGTTTCAAACAACAGAGTGAGATGTCAGCAGTCACCCTGGTGTTTCCTGAAAAGCAGCAGCTAAACTCAGCTCAAAAAAACAGACAAAGACCTTCAGGCATCGGCCTAGGAAGGCAAGGGTATGAAAAGAGACAGGAAAGAAACCAAGAGCAGGGAGCAAATGGGAAAAGGAAAATAAATAAAGGGTAAACCAGCAGTGACATCCCAGGAGACATGTAAGAAATGCTTATGTCTGGCACCAGAGGGGATGAACTGCCTGCCTGACAAACCCTTTGCAAAGTGGCTGCCATCCAAGCTTAGGCATGTTATTTATGGATCAGAAAGCAATAAAACCTGTTGAGATCACATAAAGAGTGTTCCAAAGGGCCAAGAGGTGCTTGCTGCAGCTAATCTCCCCCCAGGGAGTACATATTTCTCTGTGGAGGGAGCATGGACTGACTTGTAGCAGTAGCTGGCACTGTGCTTGTAGTAGCGGCACAAGTTCCCATCGTCGGGGGGTGTGGCGCAGAAGAAGATGGTCGGGGACAGGTTGTAGCGCCCAGTTTTGCAGAATTCATCCATTTCCCTTGGGACACCTGGCTCGATGGCCACACGGTCACCTGCCAGGATGAAAGCAGACGGAGTGGATCAGGGACAGGGTGGCACACAAGTAGGAGTAGCACCAAAAAAGCACAGAAACACTGGCACCATACAGGCAGGAGGGACATGAGGAAGGTCTTGCTGCACACACCAGGCTGTTTCCCAACGCTCCCTTCACAGCAGCCCCATCACTAAGATCTTCCCAGGTACTTGGAAAGAGATGGTGGCACAGAGGCACAGACACAGGTCAACCACACACACACCTTCTTCCAGCTGCCTTGCAGCCAACCTCGGCAGATGAAGGGGCAGCCCCCAGGCAATCATACTGTGACCAGATATTTTGATGAATCTGTAGAAGAGGAAATACTGAGGATAGAGCTGGTGAGCTCGGCTGGCCACCACGCTACCACAGATGGAAAGGGCTGTTCCTTGGGAATCGTAGAATCATGGAAGTATTTGTGTTGAAAGGGACCTTAAAGCTCAGCTTGTTCCACTTCCTACCATGGGCAGGGACACCTTCCGCTAGACCAGGTTGCTCCAAGCCTCGTCCCATCCAGCCTGGAACACTTCCAGGAATGGGGCAGCCACAGCTTCTCTGGGCAACCTGTGCCAGGGCCTCATCACTCTCACAGAGAAGGAAGCTTAAGGTGCAGAACACCCAGGAGCCTGGCAGGATTTATCTGGGAACAGAGACAGCTTGGTGCTACAACAGAGTAGCCCAGGGTGCTGGAAGGACACATGCCACAGGACAAAGAACTATTATTTAATTGCAGTCACAAAGCAGTATGGACCAGAGAAAAGAGGGTGAGTCCAGTACAACTTGCAAGTACATGAGGGACACAAAGCCTCACATTTATTTGGCAGAGGAATCAGAGCCAAACCTCTGAGCAAACCCCTCCACCAACAGACTTTCAGGCAGATGTGGGGATAAGCAGGACGGAAGTAAAGAGCCATCTAGGTCACTACATCCCCTCTGAACTGGCCAAAAACAGGTGTCTGACAGGACAGAGGCAGAACAAGCACATACTGAATACTCTCCCAGCCTCGCATTATACACAGCTGTGAGGCCTCCCAAGTTGCAAGTGGTTTGTTTGTATTTAGTAACACTCAACAACTTCTCCTCCTTCCACCATGTAAACTACATGGTCTGCTACATCTCATGCAAATGCTTCACCTCACTGTGCTTTGCCCTCATGCTAGAGCAACCAGAGAACGGGAAACCTGCTCTCCCAGCCCTCCACGAGTCCTCACATCCTTGAGTTGTCTCTCTAGCTCTCAGCTTGAGCTCCTGACTTGGACATTTGTCAGAGATGCTGCTCCACATGATCCTCTGAATCTTTCTCACTTGTTTTACATCCTTTTGGAAAGGAGGAGATCAGAACTGCATGCAGAGTTCCAGATGTGCACTGACATCCTCTGAGTCTCTGTCCCCTTCCTAACAGTGATTTGCATTTTCACTGCTGTGGAGCCAATGCTGCTATGCCCAGTGTCAGCACCGAAGGTCTATCCCTTCAGCAGTGATCGTCGGCACAGCATTTCAGATATGAAGCTGGTTTTGTTTGTTCTGTCGTGGATATCCCTTTGGGTTTGCCTGCATTGAATCTCACCTGCATCTCACTGGTACCTCTCAGGTCTGTCTGTAACTCTTGCTGGCTCTCCCCCACGTCCTCGCCACCTTGCCTAAGTTGCTCTCATCAGCAAACTTTGCAAAATTCCGCGCCCAGTCCATTTTCTAGGATATTCATAGCGAGCTGTGGAGGCCCCACCACAGGGCCTGGAGCAGCTGTTCCAGTGACCTCTGCACTGCAGGAGGCCATTCACTCCTTCAAGAACACACACAGAGAAGAAACACTCACAGCAGGTTGTTGGTAAGAGCTACAGGTGTGGTTTCTGAAGGTTTATCAAGCTTCCTTAAAAGGCAACTTGTACCAGTGTACACTCTGCTCTGCATTAAAATACAGGCCAGCTCAGCTCAACATATCCTGGATAAAGCTGCCTAAGGAATAGCATATACTAGTGGCCAAGATGGGTGACTAATTGCAGTGCAATGACACTTTTTGAAGGAGGTCACACTGTGAATTCAGAACTTCAGATAAATTTACCTGTTACAACACATTCTCAGGACTGATTAGGAGGAAAACAAACAAATGGGTTTGGTTCCAGGTACCTGGTTTCAGATGAGTCACCCCAGAGCCCACTTTTACGACAGTCCCGGAAGCTTCATGTCCCAACACCATGGGATCCTTGACAACAAAATCCCCAATTCGACCGTGCTGCCAGTAGTGAACGTCAGAGCCACAGATCCCAACGGAATGCATGCGCAGGAGGACCTCTGCCAGAAAAGGAGGGAAGGTTCCTTGTAGAAAAACTGACTTTCTTAGGCACTCAGATAGCAGCACATGGGCTGTCCCTGGGACCCAGAGCAAATGCCAAGCCAGTATCGACAGATGCAAATTTACTGGCATTCAACCAACACACCAGAATTTTGAGTGGCACGTTCATGAGCTACCTGCTGAAATACAAAACTATGCAATGATTCACAAAGCAAGAAGGCTTAAAATAGGGTAAGAAAAAAGCTAATGCCAATAAAAATAAGGCCAACAAAGTAATACAAATAAAGAGGGATGTTATTATTGCTGGAGAAGGAATAAAATAGCAAGTCGATTTAATTTTCCCTTCTCCCAAAGTTATAATTTCAGCTCCAGAGAGTTAGTGAATCAAATTTCTATCAGCCCATATCCCCATCCTATTAATGTTTAGTCCTGCATAAGATCACCTGACATGTCCCAAGCACCATTTACTGTAACATACATGAACTGATGCAACAGGAAACAAAAAAGCCAAATAAAGGAGTTTATCTGTGACTGCTCCAGCTCTTCTTTTCAGCTGGAAAAGCAGCATTATCTGTTTCAGCAACCCAATCATTTTTTGGATAATTTTGCACTTCCTCAGAAATATTTTATATTATCAAGAAGCAACAAAAGAGAATGAGAAAACAATGAGAGAAGAAAGCAGCCAGAATCAATCATCTATAGACCTACCATTAGGACCTGGTTCTGGGATTGGACGGTTTTCCTACAGACAAAAGAGAAAAAAAACCAAAAAAACATTTAGCTGCTTGTTCATATCCCTGGGAATATCTGTGGAAACGTAGCTCTGGTTAGCTCAGGTAAATCTATGACCAGACAGGGTTTTTGGTTCTGTCTGCTCCATAAGACATGGCTGTGCCATGTGGAGCCCGCTCCTAAGCTCCCCTCATTTTCCATGCTCAGTGGAATAGCACAGGTAGCTGCAGGAGTAAGCACGCTGCCAGCTTGTAAATCCACTCTCTGAATCAGTTTGCAGTAAATTCATTTTCCCTGCCCAGACAAGAGACACATACTAAATTTCCCTGTAGTGGAGCAGCCCCAAGTTTCAGCTGAATCCTTCATCCATCCCACTGGCTGAAAAAAAATCACCTTCTGTAATCAGGAAGATTCTGAACCACCTGTTCTATAGTCTTAATATTGCAGTGGCTTTATTATTATTTTAAATAATACAAATTTTTTTTACTTCATAATCATAGAATAACAGCATCACAGAATGGTTTTGGTTTGGAAAGGACCTTAAAGCTCATCTCATTCTACACTATCAGGGATACCTTCCACTAGACCAGATTGCTCCAAGCCACATCCTTGAACACTTCCCAGGATGGGGCAGCCACAGCTTCTCTGAGCAACCTGTGCCAGGCCTCACTAACTTGTGTCAGTAATACATAATTTACATATATTATTGATACATAATAATTTATAAATAAAATGTACATAACGACTTTTACCTATTAATGTATACATTCACATTCTCTTGTAATTGCCTTGGCAACTCTTTATGGGGTGAATTATGAAACTAAAATTAGAAAAGTGGCCCATATTACCCTTCCACCCAAACGGTGTGCAGGGCTTTTGCCCTCACCAAGCTCTCTCAGCTGCCTCAAAAGCCAAAGGAATAATTTTGCTGAGTTTTACAACATCAGGACAATACAACACCCACCCTGTCTAAGAAAAGCCCCCCAGAGTAGTGCCAACAGTAAACTCTTAAAAAATCTTTTGCTGCTCAAACTTTGAGAAGCACTGTTCTGCATTTTAACTATTTAAATCCCCACATATTTCTCAACTCCTATTTTGTAACTCAGCATTCTAAACATCATGGAAAGACAAACTCTGGAAACATGCTCTCATATGACTCAACCAACTTTTCCATGTTCAGACCGTATCTGCAATTTTTCTGTGTGGTGGGGTTTGTTTTGTTATACTGAGGACACAGCCCAGAGCATTATTTCTAAAAGAGGTCAGTCTAGATGTAGCCTTTTATAGAAAATGCAATAAGCACAGGATCTGGTGACACACCAGAGGTAACAGACCACCTCAGACTGATCAGAAAGTCTACAGTGAGAGATAAAGCCAACTTCTATCTGAAAATGTGTGTGTGTAAAAATAAACTGGCCCACTTTTTTTTTTCCTTTTTTTTTTTTTTTTTTTTTCTTGGCAATAACAACTGTGCCCAGAAAATGTAGACGTCTTGGTGGGAAGTGAATTCTCCAGCCTGATTTGGAGAAAATAGGAGTGACCAAAGTGGAGAACACCAAAGATACAAATTCTGCTTGTTGTCTGCTGTTCACTGAGAAGTTCAGAAATGGTGACTGGTAAAGTAAACACAACAAATATTTTCTGTGAAAGGAGACATGGAAAGAGAGGCCATGGTACAAGTATAAAACCAATAAATCCTAAATGGACAACAAAGAGGAGTGTGTGCAACTACCTAAGGACAAGAGGAGAGTCAACAAAACAAAGCAAAAACATTTTCACACAGCTCAGGGATCACAGGGAAATACGTCCAAAAATCAAGAAGGGTGTGGGAATTACAGGAAGATGGCTTCACCCAGCTTTGGGTATCAATAACAGATAGCAAGTTCAGAGTTCACGGCTGAGACTACTCCTATGACCAGTAGGTCAACACGGAGAGCACCACCCACATCAGGGAAAGAAACTTCAGGGAAGCCCAGGAGGATCACACAAGGCGCTGCCAGTGAGGCAGGAGGGCACTGGTGACCATCTCTAAGGTCTCCAGCAGTACAAATATCCAAGGAAAACTCACATGTCTAGGTGTTAGCCAGTTTAGAGATCAGCAACACAGATGCGATGGAGACAGTGTCCACCTTCACAAGTCTCAGACACCTTTCTCAAATCACAGGGGTTTGGAAATGTGTTCTTGAACTAGAGGAACCACCTCAGTCCTCAACCCATTTTGATTTCTTTTGGTAGTCAGGCTACATGTAATTGTAGCAAAAGCAAAATTGTGTCAAAGGAGCCTGAGAGCCACCTTGGAGCCACCAGGAGCCACCTACACAGCACCGCTCAGGCTTTGGCATGTGTTGCTTTAGCTAGGCAGGAATAGCAAAAAAATCAACCTCTTCCCTGGTAATCATTCCCTAAACACGGCATGTATCTAAAGTCTGTGTGTTCCGCAGGGCCCTACTGCCAGGACTCTATGTACAGAAAGCTGCCTGCCAATGTCTGCCCATAGAAACCTTCCTTCCCCTCTTTGGGCACTCGCCAAACGGAAAAACGCAGCTCTCCAGCAGCGCCATAGTGATTCAGCACCCAGAAAAAGCTGAGCATTAGCAGCCAGAGAAGCAAAATAAGCCTAAAGTACTAAAAAAGTACAAAATAAAAGCTCCCCCTGTCCAGGAGGGTCCTTCAGCACCTGCTCCCCCTAAACCCTCTGTCCTGCTGCTCACCTGGCTCCGAGAGCCCAAAGAAGCAACAACCAGCCTCCATCCCTGCTCCCTGGAAGGGCCTGTCTCAGCTCTGAGAATGCGAGCAGGGGGTGAGGGGGGGCAAGTTTTTTGGGATTCTGGGTTTCAGGGATAAACGTTCTCCACCCAGAGCTGGCAAAGATCTCAACTTTGTCTTCTCCTGTGTCCTCTAAGAGCGTTCTGCAGCTGAAACCTTTCCAGGATTGGAAAAACAGAAAATTTACAGGATAAGATACACAAAGTTGCCAGAAACAGCTAAAAATAGATCATGCTTCTGATACTGTTGCATCCTTCTGCCTGCTTGAATGAGTGTATCTATAAATTTATTTCCCTTGCAAAAATGTTGCATCTCCCAGGCACACGAGGGCTGGTGCATTTTTTCTTTTTTCCTGTCTGGGTCATTCCCCGTAACGCTGTAAAACGACCACAGGCTTCCCCACAGAGGGGATGGGAGGGCTCCAGCCATGGGGCAGCCCCGAATTTGGGTCCCCGCGCCCGCAGGCGGCCCCGCTCGCAGCGGGGGCCGGTTCACGCTGACACCCCTAGCGCTCAGCCCCAGACCCGCGGGAGCCGCTCCCTCCCCACCGCCCCCGCCCGGCCCCGGCTCCTCCCGGCCGTACCAGGCGCAGGTCCCCGGCTCGGTGAACCACCACGGCCACGTTCTGCCCCGGTGCCGCCATGGCTGAGCTCGGCGCGGCCCCAGGTTCAAGGGTCGCTGCTGGGGGGGCCGCCCTCGCCAAGGCCCCCGCCCGCCCACCCGCCGGGCCCGGCACCGCCCCCGGCACCGAGCGGGCACGGCCGGCTCCAGGCACGGCTCCAACCCGACCCCAGCGCCAGGCCCAGCTGCGGCTGCAATTCCAGGCCTCAGCCCCTGCTCCAGCTCCAGCCCCACTTCCAGCCCCAGCTTCAGGCTCAGCCCCGACCCTAGCGCCAGCTCCAGATCCAGGCCCACCTCCGGGCCCAGGTCCTCCAGCTCCAGGCCCCAGCTCCAGTTCCAGGCCTCAACCCTTGCTCCAGTTACAGGCCTCAGCCGCTGCTCCAGCTCCAGCCCCAGCTCCAAGCCCAGGTGCAGCCACAGCTCCAGGCTCTAATCCCAGCTCCAGCTTCAGTTCCTGCTCCAGCCCTGGGTCCCGGTCCAGTTCCAGCTGTTAAAAAAAGGACTGCAGTATGGTATTGGCTTTCACATTTATATATTAATTTCTAGCATTGATCATAAGTATTTAGATATAGTATTATACATACCTTTATTTAGCTGTTTGTTAGTATAACATAACCTACCAGTTTAAATATGTACTGCATAGCTTATAGAAATAGTAGTGTGGTGAATATACGGTATTATAGGCCTTAACTAAACACTAGGTGCTAAAATACCTCTATGTAACCAAAACAAATGGTGTAAGGCAATCATGTTACCCCCGCTTCTCCGCTGACTGAATTCTCCAACTGATAACATAACCATGACACAAACCAGAGCACCAGAGGACAATTAGCAAATACCATGTTAAATTTAAAGAGGCCATACTAAGTCTTTATCAGAGGACATAAAACAGGATGGAGGCACAAGGAGGAATAAAATATATTAACTTGACACACAGGACATCATGCAGATAAGCCAGAGTATGAAAAAAACAAACAGAAGGATTCCCAAAACATCAAATAGTTCACAAGAATGCTTGAATAATGTATGGACTGTATGAATATGCATGTACCTCAGCAATGTAACAGTACAGATAACATTATAGGGACTACTGGTGTATTCTTTGGCTGTTTGCCAAAGAGACTTTTGTCTCTTATTTTATTCCCTATTAAACTTAAAAAAAAAAAAAAAATCTGTAGTGTTATTTTGTTTTTCACTGAGCCTCACTACCCCCCTGGCTCCAGGTCCTGGCTCCAGCTCCAATTCCAGCCCCAGCTCCAGCCTCTGCTCCAGTTCCAGTCCCACCTCTGCTCCAGGTGCTGCTTCCAGCCCCAGCCTCATCTCCAGTCCCGACCAGAGCTCCAGCTGCAGCCACTGCTTCCAGGCCCAATCCCAGCCTCAGCTCCAGCTCCAGGTCATGCTGGTGACAGCACTACACCCTGCATTTTGACTAAAATGTGCTTGCCTGCACATGACACAATTGGAATGTGGTTATCTCAACTGCAGAAATAGCTTTTTGGGAGAAAAAATTGACATTTCAGGGATTCTGGGTTTTGGGGAAAAGACTTTTTCTGCTCAAATGGAGTTGGCAAACATCTCAAATAGATTATCCCCTCCAGTGTCATTGAATCATGGAATCATGGAATAGCCTGGGTTTAAGGTACCCACAAGAACCATTGAGTTCAAGTCCTGTCCTTGCACAGGACACCCCAACAATCCCACCCTGTGCCTGAGAGCATTGTCCCAGTGCTCCCATAGCTGTGGCAGCCTTGGGGCTGTGACCATTCCCTGGGGAGCCTGTTCAGTGCCCCACCACCCTCTGGGGAAGAACCTTTTCCTCATACTGAACCTAACCCTCCCTGACACAGCTCCAGCTATTCCCTTGGGTCCTGTCATAGGTCACCAGAGGGAAGAGCATTCTAAGAACATTCTGTAGCTGAAAGCTTTCCAAACTTGACTTCCTTAGAAAAATAGAAAATATACAGGATTTATCATATAAAATTGTCAGAATCAGCTAAAAAATGGTCTGTATTTCTAATATTATTTTGTCTTCCTCCTTGCATGAATAGGTATATTTATGAATTTAGTTTCCTTAAAAATGTTTCACTTCTCAGGAACATGAAGGTGCCTTTCAGGGTCATTCCCTGGAACATTTATTGGAGTGAGAGTCAGCATCATCACTGCAGTTATTCTGAGAGAAGGGGAACAAATTCACCGGAGGCTGTGACAAAAGACCTTACTCAGTGTTTACACAGCAACATAATTCCTGCCACATCCATGGAAGAAGGAATATTTGCATTCTATGGAAAGGTGGGGAAAAGCTGGATATACTTGTTTTCTCAAGGCACCGGCTTGTGCCTCTCTTTTTTAGGGTGTATTTGCCTCCAGATTTGACTTGCCACACAAATTATCTGCATGGGAATGACCATGAAATCCTGCAGCTCTACAAGCACAGCACAGACTGATGCCTGGGCTCCCTAAATTGGAAAAAATTGCTGGAGCCATGGACTGGGAGCTTCACTGGGAACTCAGGACTCTTGCTATGATAAAAGTTTTTTTGGGTTGTCACATCAGTTACTTGCCAGCCTTTGGGCAAAAAGTGACTTTTTGTTGGGGAAGGGAAACTGGTTTCTTCAGCTCTTCTGCTCCTCCTTGCTATGACTGTCAGCACTTTGCCTTCAGTTTTCTTCCCTTCTCTTTCCCACTTCCTTTCTGAATCAGATTCACTTCACACTTCCATGTTTCCTCTGCCAGATTTTACTGCCTGTGCCTGCTGGGCCTGCTCTTCCTTCAGGACCACAAGGACTTCACCACCCACTACAAATCCCTCCAAGATCCTCCTTTAAAAGATGTTTTGAAGACCTTGCTTAGGTCCGTTTCTCTTGTTTGCCTTCAGCATTGCCTGACAAGCCCTTTTGACTGCCACCCAAAGTCAAAACACACTTAGGACTTAGTCGTAATTAATTTCTCTTTCACCTATGTGTGTGGGTGTCCAGCTTTCACTGGCGAGGCAGCCATTCACGTTCCCCCAGGCACACAAGAGCAGTGCTGTGGGATTATGTCATAGCCATGGTGTCACCTCGCACAACAATCCTTATTACCAGAGCCATTTCACTTCATTAACTCAAACAAATGTTTACCTGTTTGGTCTATGATCAGGATCATTGTGGCCTCACTGGGTAAGGAGATGGGTGCTTTGTTGACATGAAAATAACTCAGTTCACTTGCAGCAGTCAAACTCAGTGTGTATTTTCCTTGTGTGCAAACTATAAAACACCTCAGAACTAACTCAGTGAGGAAAGGGGGGACATGACCTCAGGAGATGCATCCCTGTGTCTTGGAGGATGAACTCCCCAAAATAAAGAGCAGCATTGCAGGTGACACACCCCCGACCTCCATGGAGGGGGAGGACAATGCTTGGAATCCAGGGATCCCTGCAGTGATCCTTCAGCAGTCCCACAGCCAGGGGAGCTTCAGGGTGATGTTGTCCTGGGGACCCTGTGTGGAGTGGCCAAATAGCTGCTGTAAGTTCAGATGTCAGGGTAAGCCCCTGATTGGTCCAAAATGCAACCAAAGGGCTGAATTCTCTGTAGCCTAGGCAAAATATCTCCATCTGCATGAACTCTCCATCTCCATGCAGAGATCGAGCAGGACTCACATTGGAAGTAGATGCTCCTCTTAGTTACCTCATGAAAGATTCTTGTGTTTGCCTTGGAGGTGTTGTCACCCTCAACAGGATCACTCTGGAGCTTCTTCCACATCCCAACACCACAATTTTATTTCTGACCAACTACATCAAAGTGTTTTCTCCTGAACTGATGCAGAAAATTCTAAGGTGCCTGTCCAAGATCTACCATCACCTTTGAGAGAGTTGGAAAAATAAGCCAATTAGTTATTACAGTACTAACTGTGATAACTGCACCTCAGCTGGAAAGCCACCATCCTGTGACAGTCTTATCTCCCTCTGAACCAAAGGGACCTTGAGTGGTAGGGCTGTGTAAAATAGTGACCTAACACCCAACCTAGATTAGGATGAAGTTCAGGAATCCTAGGGAATAGCTCCAAGTGTGACAATTAGATTCTGAAATAATAATCAATCTCATGGAAGAAGAAGGCCCTGGAAGCCTTTGTGGCTGCTGGTTGTAAGTTCTTGCATTATTGTTCTGTTCTGGGTCAAGATTTTCATCCACTCCCACATGTATATGCCACTGCTCCCTCCACCTGTTCTATTAATGCCATGACTCCATCAGTCAGGTATTTACTTAACATGGAGTTGTTTGCATACTCAGATTTGTGGTTTCCACAGAAGCCATCCTCAGCCCTTACTTCCTTGTTCACCTCTGCTCTCAGCTCTATCTGCTGATAAGGCATGACACCTCATATCATCCCACCAATTAATATTTAACACAACTGTCCCCGGGGAAACACCGCTCAGGAAATCATTTGACATGTCCTTGTGAGGCAAACATTTAGGGACCAAGTGCCAGATTTTTAAGAGTATGAAGGTGTGTGTGTATGGGTGTGGGTGTGTGTGTGTGTGTGTATTCCCCCTTCCTGGGAGAGGTGGCTGTTCCCTGCAGGACAACCACCCTGTCCCCAAGCCTGAGGTGGGACAGGAGCACAGTGGCTGAAGTCCCTCTGCACTGCACATTTGCCCCCAGAAATACAGAGCTCACAATCAAACTCTTCTGCAAATAAGTTATGTCTGAATGGCAGTGGTGGATCTGGGACAGTAGTTGGTAGTTGACACTGGGGCAAGGTGTCTACCTAATTTTTTGCATGTGCTTTCCCGGTAAATCCTGCAGCTGTGTGAGTCATGCTGGAGACTGGCAGGCTATGCCAGGGCAGGATGCAGACTGCAGGAGTCACCCAGGAGTTTGATGGAGTTCAGGGTCAAGGTCATAACCCACAAAATCTCTGCTTTGCTTTGTGACTAACTCCTGCTCTGTGTGCCCACAAACAGCACTTCTCACTTCTCCCAGGTATCTGCGGTTTTAAAATTGCTTTACAATCAGCAAGATCTTATTGATAATCTATTTTGAAGCCTCCCAAACGACTTCCTTCCTTGCTCTGACATTGCCCCAAGAGCAGACAAATCCCACCCTTCCATGTCCATGCACCAGCATCGTTCTCTTGTGGTGTTGCTGTGCCCCCACCTGCCTGCTCTGATCCCCTTCTCTTTCAAGTACCAGAATTCCTCTGGCAACTTCATCTCCAGCCTCCATGGGA